TTATTGTTTGGAGTGTATGTCTAATTCAACCATTCAACCAGTCTTATTTCTTTCATTTTACTCATGTGTACACATTTATGCCTACTAGATACATTTGACTAGTGTGATAATATAGTAGCAAAAGCAACAAGGTCATATGAGACGAGATCATTGTACTGACCTTGAGAATTGGTCAGTATTTTTATTTTAAATCTTACGATGGTAAGATAATATCTGCTGTCATAATGGACGGCTGAGTCATCTGATCCAGAACACGTGACGAAAAAAAGACAATGTCTGCACGATAATAATAATAATAATAATATAATCACATGTCGGTGATGCACGAAATGTACACGAAATGAGTTGAAATAATAACAGAGAATCATGCTGTTTTGCTTCTGAAGTTTCAATTTCTAGGTAACATAAAAACATAAATATTTTTCAGGTTGAAATTCATGATGGATTGACATCAGCTGGAGCGCTGGATAGTTGTTTCGTACTAATGTAGGACTCTTCAACAGTGCGCAACACCAAGTGACCGTGATGATGAATACTCAATGATGACATTGAGTGATGGTTGAGCTATGTCGTGAACTGAGAGAAGTTGGGAATATGCACCAGTGAATTCCGACCCACTGGGACCATGGTAACGTGGTGACCATGGAACCTGAAAGTTCTACAGGTGTGTGTTAGTAGGTGCGTACTGCTGAGGAGTAGTCCCATAATGGAACGAAACAGCTGTTTAGTGGCTTCAGGTTTCCAATATTCCTCCAACTGATGTCAGTCCATGATGGATAACCAACTTGAAAAATCCCCAAATCCCCATAAACCCCAAAATTCAATAAATACTTATGATAATATGTTATTTAGGTGAACATAAGGATTCATTTTATAGGGGAATTTACTCAGATATTTCATCATGTTATTTTTAATCACTTAGGTCGCCTATTACACTCGTCATTTGAATGGTTTCCTCAAATTCTCTTGTCTTTACCTTTTAGGGCTTGTGCTTATGCGAACTTGACAGACGCAGAGGCTAATCACTAATTGTTAATACTTCTAATATTCCCACGATTACGAAACCATGGAGGAACACAATAGCCTAGTCAGATGGAATAGTATATTTGAAAGATCGTGTCAAGATACTGATGCATTTTAACTAACTGGCTAGAGGGTCGATTACGAGCAAAGCAACGTAACATGACAGGGTGCCAAATGACGTGGTTGCTTGACGGTGTACCTTCAAGTTGACTAGTGTGTAAAACTATGAAGGTCAACATCAATGTTGAATCTTGTCGAATCCTAGGCAATTGATTCTGGAGAAGTGTGTGACGCTACAGATCACTCCCCCTCCTAGTAGGTTCGTGAGGACCCTAAGATAATGCCAACTAGAAGGAAAAACCCAGTGGGTTCTCCATTGGTAAAACTCTTCCAATGTGCTGACTGTGAGAAGTGGCCCCTAATTGTCTGAACTTATTCTAGAGTGTCGTTGTATCTGGAATAGAAACAAAAGTCTTTAATACCATGTAAACGTTTTATAAATTAATAAAACATATCGAAAATAGACTTTATGTTGATTCTCATTTTGTTTTTTGAACCAAAAAATATTATGTGATAGTAAAAAAAAAGGTAGAAGTTCGGAGGAATGTGTGACTCTACAACTTTTTGTCATTTGAACTATAGATAGCCAGAATATTTTAACTGATGTCAGTCTTCGATGAATAACAACTTGAAATATTTCCAAATCTCCACAACTCCCTCAAAATTTAATTGAACTAGTGCTCGCTGGTGACTAGCTTCGAGAAGTATTCCCGAAGTTCCAATGACAAGTCGTGACCGGTGGAGTCAAAGCCTGATGGCCGTGAGGACAAATACTCAACGATGACATTGGGTGGCGGTTGTGCTATATCGTGAGCTAACAGAAGTTGGAAATATGGAGCATTGGATTGTGACCCAGTGGCTAGCTCAATGGTAACGCGCTGGTCGCGGAACCTGAAGGTGGCGGGTTCGATCCCTGCTGGTGGGGTGGTGGGTGCGCACTGCTGAGGAGTCCCATACTAGGACGAAACAGCTGTCCAGTGCTCCCAGGTTTCCTTTGTTCCTCCAACTGATGTCAGTCTTCGATGAATAACAACTTGAAATAACTGAGAAATGTTAAAAAGGTTTGATGATTTGCTAACATAATACAGAATTATTGAACAAAGGATAATTTTATCAGGTATATTTTTTTTGTTGCGTAAAAGTGATTGATAGATTGTTTCCAAATAACTTAAATGATTTAGATGATAACACATTTATCAAGAAGGAAAATACATTAAAGTATGATAGGTCAGTTTTCAACAAATTTATCATCTCATTATCAGAAATGGCATAGACGTAGAAGGTAATGTATCCAGTTTTTTATTTAGTGACTAAAATAGTGATCAGTTATTATTCCTAAAATTTGGCATTCTTCTCGACAGACTTTATGGACGCTAAAAAGGTTATGCTTCCATTTTCCATTCAATATTAGTGTTTTTCTAACTAATTTCCCTTGATAAGCAGTAGCCAAATAGTATGGTATATTGAAGGGATACACTTTCCAGGTTTGTGGAAGATTTATTTGTTGACTTCAAGCTAGCATTCACCATGAACTGGTATCACTTAGAGAACCATAAGAAACTTGAGAGCATTGGATAGCTGTTTCGTCCTAGTATGGGACCACTCAGCAGTGTACACCGATGACTCCACATACTGTCAGGGGTCGAACCCCGGATATATAGGTTCTGCGGTTAGCACATTACTGCTGAGCTAGTGTGTCGTAATCTTTCTTTCACCCCACAAAGGAATTCACCATGCGCGCTTCGTCTCATTTTGGATTCGTCAGACGGATGCACCCCAGTGAGTGGTATTGTCCCCACGGAAAGTCGAACCTCAGTGTCCACTGAGGCAAAATAACCACCTCTTGTACAACAGGTATTAGTTATTACTATTTGTTAATATGCTTGTAGTTCACCGTTGTTTGGCTGGATCGAATTGTTCTCCCTCTGTCAGCCTATGAGCTTCTATATGGATGTCAACAAGAAATTTAGTTTCATTTATAAATCAAGAGGTGGGTAAAAGAATTACGTAATGTTTGAAATAGTGATGAGATGAAGACTTATCAAGACTGAATCAGTATTTAGTTACCAAGTTAAAATAGTATGAAGTGGTTAGAAAGACTATTGAATGTAATGAGAAATCAGAGTGGAAGGATGTGATTTATGAGATGTGAAAGAAAAGATTTTGTGAGTAAAATGGTCTCATAAGTCGTGTTCATTATAAATCAAGTAACTAGATAAATGTCTTTTTAACACAGAGTTCAGGCTTTAAATTATTAATTGCCATGGATTCTGTAGTTTAAAGAAGTTTCAGATGTACATTTTACACTCACTTTCCGTGAACTCTATACACGACAGTGAAGTTGTTTTCTGCATTTACCGGGTGATCACAATCTATCAAATGTTCTAAAATAAAGCTGTAAAGTGCTCTGCTTTCTTCTCTACGCAACCAGGCTAGTATATGTTCGGAAATACGTTTGGAAAGCGAACGCTTAGTACAGCTAACATGCCTTACTCCACAGGAGCAGGTGAATTGATAAACACACTTAGAGGTGACCAACATAGCCAGCTTATCCTTGGTACATAAAGCATTGGGTAAGTGGCAGCATATAAAGTCTTCTTCAACGAACTTGCCAGATAGTTTCTCAGTATGTCTGCTGAGTTGTCTCCGTCGAAGTGTGAATTCATGACATTCATAAATGGTTTTATTACTAAGTAAGCTAGGCTTTGAGCATTATACAATAAGGACTAGCTGGTGGTAGATTTTCTTATAACTTGTGGTTATTTTCTTGCAAAGGGGGTGGGCGGAGCATAGCAAGGTGGGTAAGTTTCGTGGTGGTGATCCGTTCAGCCAACTCAATGGAGTATGATTCAATCTTTTCATGAGTGAGTGAAATTTGTTGGTAAACGAGTTCGAATAAGTGACAGTTATGCATCCGACCATATTTATAGTAACTCAACGTTATCTACGTATTAGTTTAGTGATAAGAAGATTTTCATGGAATAGTTAATATACTTCAAAACATTTAGGTTGATCACCAAGTTTAGCAAGCTTCGACAATCCTTCAAAGCTAAATGTTTCTGAAATAGATACATTAAGAAAAACAAGGCTCAAGTGTTGCATATATTTAAGGTATCTTTTCTATCCACTACGTGAAAATTATGATTCCTTGCGGAAGTTCGGAAGTTTTTACTCCACAAAACCACTCCTCGTCTGTAGTTGCTTGTACTATTATCGTTTATTGGACCGAATTGGTCGGTATCTACTGGGATATGGGTACCTACATGGATACCTAGATTTTGCCTGTGATTTCAGTTTGTTAGTAATGATGAATAGTGGGTAGCATTGGAATCATGCACGCGAGTTTCGTTCTCTTTGAGTCTTACTGGGAACAATATCGCTCACTGGGACACAGGTACAATCAGTTCACAAGTCCCAAATTGGACGAAACGCGAGTCCTGGATTCTACTATTAGCCATTATACATAATTAAGATGAATCATTTCACTGTCTGAATATTTCCAAGTTTATTAGACTTGATTTACGACATTCTGTGGCTATTTTTAATATCAGGAAATTATATAAGATAGTGTATATGCCTCCGAACTTTTTTCCCTGTGACTGCAGTTATCGATCGAGGTTTTCCCTCTTATTAAATTTAAGCCATGCAGTAAAACTACAAGACAAAACAGCAACAATAACAACAAGAACAAAAAGACGCATCAGTATTTTACATGACCATATCAAACCAAACATTTCTGCAACTGTTGCAAATATCTGTCATTGGTAAAAAGAATTAAATTTCTGATTGGTTGAAAATATTGACCTTGTCCATTACATAAATGATTCATCAAAATGTTGGTTCAATCTGAAAATAGACAGAATGTAGCATTTTGATTGGTTAATAGATAAGTGGTCAAAAGTTCATTGTAAAAAGACAATCGAAAGACAAATGAATTACATTATCTGTAGACTATTCGGTGTCAGCTAGTTTCATTGCAACACAACTGTTTACTGTGGATTGATTATTATTTTACTTTTCAATAAATTTACCAACTTTTTCATAGCCAATATATATGAAAGTGTATTGTAAAGCTAAAATGTCCTGATGAATTTTTTTTACAGTGGATATATAATTAATTCATAGTCGTTTAATCAGGTACAGTGGAATAATTTGCTTTTTAATGTACTTATGATAAGTTCCCCTATCTGGAATTATTATTCATCGAATTAAAAAGGAAGAAATCAAACAGTTTGATAATGTTGCCAAAAAAGAAACGTTGGATGGCTGCCGCACATACTTCCCCTACAAATCTTGCTTCACCTCCATCAATGACGACTGAATCAAATGTTGGCCCAAAGAAGCTATGCTGTGATACACCTATGCAAACAATTGGTTCTACGCCAAGATCGTTATCGAATTCAATATCTTCTCCGCAACCACCGGTCAAAACTCTACCCACTGGAGGAGGTTTATTGTCTGCTTCAGATCCCTATGGCATGAGTACACTACAGCAACAACAACAACATCAGCAAGCTTTTGTTAACCGGTCAGGATCTAATATATCCTCTGAATATATACATTGTGATAAATCTCAGACGACAACATCTAGACAATCTAGTCATTCTATAAGGTCTACCCCACCTGGGCGTCGAAATGATATGAATTCCAATCTGATCACGACAATTTCTCAGTACCCTACGGAATTACTGCAACAACAACCCGGATTACTTCTTCAGGTGTTACCACAAGAATATCTTGCAAATTATGCTCAAAATTTAGCTAAACTTAATGCTAACAAAAATCCTGTAGAAACAATGCATCTTTCACCTAATGATTATTCTTTAGGATCCAAAATCAATAAGACAGATACTATGCCTCTGCAGAATAGTGCTTATTCCCAAGGTTTAGTGCAACAGACTGATACTCAGGGACGTCAGACGTATATACCTACCCATAATAATATGTCAAGTGCATCTCTCAGGATAAAATGTTCTGAAAATTCGAAGATTCAGCGGACACCTCAGACTCTCAGGTCTAGTCCTGTGCATAATTCACCTGTGTTTCAATGTCCAGCACCAACCAATTCCCAGAGATTTTCTCCCCCACCTCATCCACCTCCTCGTCATCTAAGTGGTTCTGGGGAACAGATAAGAAATACTAAACCAATGACACAAAATCATCAATTACCGGCTGGATTTGATTTACCGACAATATCTGCTGTAGCTCGTGCAGCTAGTATGTTATCTCCATCCCAACTTGAAGCTGCAGCTGCTCTATTATCTCAATGGGATAATGCTAGTCACTTAGCATTGCTAGCTAATAATCCATCGTACAGAAATTTGTGCAATATTCCTGAGTTGTCTGGAAATAAACAACCTTCCAATTCCGGTCTTAGTTTTTCTCCATTAATTTCATCAGAATCAAATCCTGTTTCCAGCAGTTATATGGACAATCATATGCAGAATACATGCAGAACTGGGTAAGTGTTGTAGGAAATGAAGTGATAACCATACATTTAAACTTCATTAAAACTGATTTGTACTTTTTAATCATTGACATGTTTTCATAACTATAGATTATTGTGGCAGAAAAATATACTATTACCAATATTTAGCATATCCCATTGAAACATTTAACTATAGAGATGTATTAGGTTCATATGAGCATGTTTCACTCACTGGGGACCTAACATACTAATGTCATCTTTACACTTGTCTACGAATCTCTTCTGGTACAGTTTTACTATATTTCTAACCATTAAATTGTGCAACAGAAAGGAAGGAATACACCTTTTTACTAATCTTTCATACTGTGTATACAGTTAATGACTGGTCAATTGATGATACTTCTGAATGTGTAATGTTAAGTTGAAAGATCAGACTTTGTAGAATTATTATTATTTTTCCGTTGGAACATAAGGCCTCAGTAGTACGCCTCCATTGCACTCTTTTCTCTGCAGTCTTTTCGACCTGGCCCCACGACTTCTCACAAGATTTCATTTCTTCCCCACATTATCTCCTCCATGTCACCCTCACCTCGGACGCCCAACTCGTCGTTTCTCCTTCGGATTCCACTCGACGGCTTGATGCGTGATGTCTTCAGTCGGCCTTCTCAGTCTATGCCCAATCCATCTCCACTTTCTTCCCCTGCATATTTGTTAGGTGATAGGTTCTTGGTTGATTCGCTGGCAGGCTAGAGTTGCTTGTTGTTTATTCTTTCCGATAGCCTCTAATGGATTCAAAGCTTTTGTGAAAATTGTATTCTTATCGATAGATTGTGAATTTACAGGTTTAATCTCTTTTCACAGCCTTTATATTTGATCTCATGTAGTTGATCGTATTGTCTTTGACTGATACAATTTAATTTCTTCTATGTTAGTCATCAGAATCAAAACTTTGTAAGTATCCTCGTGATATTCGCACGTTTCACTATAGGAAACGTCATGTTTATCACCGTTTTATAATCTATCTTAAAGTTTCTGCTGTTATTATTTACTCCATTTAATCTGCAGTTTTAATAATACCGTAAACTAGAAAAACTAGTCACTTATTTGTTTCATTTCTTATAAGAGTACGCTTTCTGTAAATATGTGGTTCAACGGAAATTATCCTAAGCTTTGAACCCAGTTTTATTCAGTAGATATTTGTGATTGGATGTTGAAAACATAGTTTTATGCAGCATGGCTCTAATTCACTATTAGGGAATATGTTTCACAATTACAGTCTAGGTTAATTATCTTGACTGATGGTTGGTTATCCACTGTATAGTCGTCTCGGTACAACTCTGTGACAGTCTGCTGGCAATCTTCATAGAAGTGCATAAAGGCTGTTATTAACATGAAGAAAAATAACACGATAAAGGTACTAATATGAAAAATCGTTGAAAAGTGTTAAACAGAAAGGGAATAAAAAGGTACGGTATACTTTTTAGGAATCTGTAAGAGGTACAGAGGTTATGTACCTTTAATTTTGTGGTTGGTTCTCAGTGATGTTGTCGACAGTCTTTAAACTTCAAGTCTATTCATCCTCTGACGAATATTTTTATTTATCATTTTGACTATCTGAGATATCCATAGTTTAGCAAACTTGTATGGATACTAGGTGATGATTGAAGGTGAAGTCGAAGCTTGAACCGCGGCGGGATTCCAACCAGCCACCATCACAATGTACTTTTTTTCCTTAGTATTTGATTTGACCACCCTCATGGTGGATGACGTATGACACCGTTGTTTCGTTCTTCAGATTCTTTGATATACGATAGCTGGCAGCAGCATAGTTCTAATTTACTGTTAGGGAACATGTTCCACAACCATAGTCTAGATTAGTTGTTGTGGCTGAAGAACCTCGTAGCTCACTTGGTAGAGCACCGGGCCGGTAACCCGGTGATCGCTGGTTAGAATCCGGCCGCAGTCCAAATTGTCATTTCACCTTCAATTATCACCTAGTATTAATGATAATAATAATAATAATAATGATAATAATGGTGATAGCAACCAAAACTTAGGAGAGAAACAAAACATCTGTCTACTTTTAAAACTGTAGTCATACTATCCTTTTCTGTTTGGACAACACACACAGGAAGTTATCAATGAAATATACTTGTATGGTTGGTTACCAGATACTCGGTGCAGTTAGCAAGCACATCCATTTATTCATTAGAGTAATGTCTATTAAACAGTACAAAATGATGTTATATGTTGAAATAAACAAAACTCAATGCAACAATAATATACTTTGAAGTGTATGGGGACTTTATTTCCAAGATAGTATTCATCAAGGAATGAAGGATTGAGAGGCTGAGAGCACTAGACAATTATTTCATTCATGTATGGGTGATTGGATAACGTGTACAGGGTTTTATTCTCTGAATAAACGATCTCCGTGTAGTCACATAACATCAGAAAATTAATTATTCATCTACCTGATTAAGATTCTATAAATAATCCATTTACTCAATACTCAACTGTATCAGGTGAAATTTCCATCCTAAACTTGTGTCTTATCAAATAGTTAGTTATCGTGTTTTAGGAGGTAAACAAAACGAGTTACATGGTGGTTGGAATTTTGTAGATATATTGAAGTGTTAATCATGTGTTGCAGGTGACACAATCATGATGTATCTAGTGAAGACACATGGAAAGAGAACTTAGGATCGTAGTGTGAATGTTGATGAATGACTTCCATGTCATCTTGTCATTAATGATTCTTAGTTCTACTAATAATTGTATGTATTCTTATGAATGATGAGAAGATGTTAGACTAAGCTGTGACTGATTGTAGGTGATTTAACTGACGGTAGGAACTGATAATGGAGGTTAAAATAGTCGAGTTAATTTCAACACATGAATTTTGTTCAGTAACTAAGTAACTGGGTAATTAATTATTTAATTAATTATACATATTGCTATTTTTATTCATTTCGATAAGAACTAGCTTCCACCTAGTTTTTCAGGTTTTAGGGAGGTTAGATTTCAAGGTCAATGAGTGTAGATTCTCAGGTGTGTTGTGGTGGATAGAAGTTTTGAAAGTGATGAGAAGTATGATTGTCTAGGTTGTTTTAATGCTTAGTAGTTGTACAGATGAGATGTTTGTACAGGCTGATAGACTGAATCGCTGTGATTTGAGATGTGGATTTATGAGGTGAAGTCTTCTATTTTGATGTATTGGGTTCTGGTTTCTAATTCTACTTCATCTACTTTTGTTTGTGATAGTGTACATTAACATGAGCTGATGGTTGTGTGCATAGAGTTCTGTTGAGTTGACTTATAGTATTATTTCTGTTTGGAGGTATGTGAAGACTAATTAATTAATTAATTGATTTTGGATGGAATTCAGCATGCATTGATATCAGTTAGAGGAACATTGGAGATATGGGAGTACTGGTTAGCTGTTTCGTTTTATTATGGGCCTCCTGGGTAGTGTGCATGCATGCTTCCACACTGTCAGGACCTTGAGGTTCCGAAGTCAGACTCTTATCCTCCCAACTTGTCTACTGAAGCATACTTTCTGTGGGCTCTGTACCTTCCTGCTTTTTCAGTGTTTATTGATAACAAATCCAAACTTTACGAACATCTTTTGTATGAGATGTTTCAACTGTCAACCTGTGGAAAAACACACTGACGTTTATTCTTTATAGCAAGGAATTTTGTCTGAGAATATTAATTGAAGCTATAACCAGGTATAGTGAATGTAATCGAAGATCATTTGTTTCACGATAGATCTTTGAGTGATGAGGTGACTTACTGCTTTGGAAGGCTGGCTGTGGAGAATATTGTCGAAAGCAGAATCATCAAACTAAACATCACTCAAATGAATTTTGCATTTCGATGTCAGTTAACCAAGCTGGCTGGCTTCAGGAAGAACAACTTATTTGTGGATCAAATTGAAATGCTACACTACACTACGCAGCGTGTCATCATAGAACTGAGCATAGAATGCCAGTCAACTCAACTCTACTTCAACTTCATCCACTTTTCAAAGACCTTCTATAGAGGTGTCGACCGAGAAGTAACTTGACAAGTAGCTGCCTGCTTCAATACTACAGTTTCAGTGCCATAAACCTCCCTCCATCAACCTCATTCAACACCAACTATATTCTAGGCTATATGATGAGGCTACATATCAGCCAAGTGATTCACAGTGGAAAGTTCAGTGATGCCATTGATGTTTGGTTAGGAGAGGGACGAGGTTGCCGCCTACTATCACCGACCGCCTTCCTGATTGTGGTCGACGTGACTTTACTGTACTGTACTGTACTGTACTATACTGAAGTGTATCATGCAACAAACTGTGAGGAGGTGTGAGAAGATGGTCATAGGCTATGTGGGCAGATGAAAAGACCCCAGAAGGAGAATTGGATTTTGCCGTCGCCGTCGCCGCCGATGATGATGATGATTTATGTCTAATGTTTTGTCACACAAGCTCGAATATCTACAGGCGAAAACTAACGAGTTGGCAGAAGAGGTGATGGTAGACTAGGCTAGACTAGGCTAGGCTAGGCGAGGCAGCTAAGGAAGATGGAACTTCCTTCAGGTGAGTGTAGATAAGATAGAGGTGATGAAGATACCGAACCAACAACTACTACTTCTACTACAAGCATCAATCATCACCACAGGTTGAAATCTAAATGAAGTTGTCTCTCTCACCTACTTCTGTACCTATGCAGCATCGCTTCAACTACAGGTGACACAGGCATAGATAGGGATGTCAAAGCACTCATGATTGGAAAAACAGTAAGACGAGCCTTCCTGCATTCATCTGAAACAATCAGTGTAGAGATCTACTGGACTGCACTTAGCGTAAAGGGTGAATAACACCCGGATTTTCGACACTGATGTCAGGCAAGTAAGTCAGTGCTTCTATGTGATGTTTGAGAGACTTGGTGGCACCTTACGAAAAGCATTTCCAACACAATGTATACATGCGTCAGCAGCCGCCTATGCTAGATACTGCAGATTAGATGGCCAGAATAATAAGAATA